GGTTAGGCTCCTTCAGAGATGTAGTTGGCATTGCCCTTATTGGGTTCCCAGTTGCAAGAATGATGCTACCCTCAGCATCATTCTTGCAACTGAGAACCCAAACCTTGAATCCTCTGCTGTGGAAGGTGATAGTGCATCTTCTGGAGACTGTAGGCCCAACCCACAACCAGAGATGCTGCTAGCTTTCCCATGTCAGATATGTTATCTAGCAATGCATTTTCATCCATGGGTTTGGGCACTGTGTAAGTCAGGTCAGATCTGGACATCCCATCTCTGATGGCTTCATTGGTCTCACTCAGGAAGAAATCCTGTGCATCATGCAGGAACTCGGTGATATCATAGGTGGAAAAGCTTGAAAGGCCCATTTTTGTAATCAAGTGGCATCTCAGGATGAGGCAAAGCAAGAAAACCACTAGCTAGTTGATGAAAGAGTGATTAGCTTTGGCTAAAAGCATGACCTTAAATACATAAAGTGTAAATTCAAATGCAAAGGTTGACTCAGTTTTAATTGGTCAAAGGTTTTATCTGATGCATAGGTTAAAGGTGGTATTAATATTTGGTTAAGAGTGTGAACTAGGTACTCATCAAGCAGCACATCTAAAGGCTTAACATGTATCCATGCTCATCCTAGCACATGGAATATAAGTCCATCGAACTTGAAGAAATCGAGATTCCCCTAGTTTTCATTCAACCAGCTACCAATGGCTGTGCTGCTCTTGCCAGACATAGGGAACATTCACACCAAACTCTCCAACCCAGCCTCATCCATAGCCTATAATCTGGTTGTCATGTTGACAGAGCTTATTTCCAATAGTTGAGCTGATTTGGGTTAGGCACCAATAATCTCTCTTTTGCCCATGCCAATGCTTTCATTGTCTTTCCTTAGGGACTTTCTTCAAGTTACAAATTGCTTAACAGATATGGAACAAATTACAAGTGATACCTTCCACCTTTTCCTATTACACTTGCAGCCTGCATTTTCATACTTCTGAGCTGTAGTTTTTAATGAAACAAAGTTAAGAAAATATTCAGTAAAACTGTTTGCTTGTTAAAAATATTTCAATCTGTATGACTAAAAATAGTCATATCACTACCAAATAAATCATACCATATGTGTATTTTTGTCATGAAGTCTAAGCCATTATTTCATGTATTACTGTCAGTTTTACTCACTTATTAATATTTCATCATGATAAAGTTAGAATATTATTTGCATTATGCTTTTGAGAAATACCTAGTAAAACTGTTTTCTCTCTCTCTTGTCAGATTATGAGTCTCTTTGTTACTATTGTCTCTTTCGTGAAACATCCACAAACCTGTAATATATCCAAAATGAACATTATCTCAACATTAATGAAAAATCATAGGTACACTGCATTTTTGAATAATACTTTCCAGGTTATTTATCATGGTTAGTCTCATATTCATCAATTTTTAACATTGAGATAAATTCCTTTTCACCATGCTCTTATTGCTTTATTCAAATTTACTTCTTGGCTTGCCATTACCATTCTGTACATATGATTACTTCAAGTTAAAACATCTGTGAAGGAGTCCATCTAATGTTTCATCATGTGTGTTGCCACATATATATATATATTTTACATACATATATTGCCTTACACATATGCCACCATTATTCTTCATCAAGTACTCTAGTAGTTTATATAGCTTGCCTGTGACTACCACATGAGTAACTTCACAGATATCTGAGTTACCTGCCAAGGTTATGCTTAACAGTGTCATTTAAGGGCCATGGAACTCAACTTATTTTTACCTCAGGCTTCATGAAATAAATAATCACTGGTACAATTTTATTTACTGTGATTAAAATTTGTGCTGTTACAAGTGTATTCTAGTAAATACACAGAAATAGCTGATTGTAATATAGGTTTTCCACAAAGATCAATGAAAAATCTAGTGAGTGCTAGGTAATATACTCTGCATATTTCTTACCACTCAGCTACATTCTTAGAGCAATTTTCATAGAACATCATATGATGTTTTCAATCAAAAAATGTAATACCTTGGAAAGCAAAGAATTTTACTTTTGTTTTTTAGTCCATGATCATGCAGATCAGTGACTGTCCTGATTGTCAATCATCAAGCAATAACCATATTATAGTGTATACATAGTATTTCATGTTAACACTTCGTCTGGAAAGCCAAGGAGTCACTACACCCTTTTTGTCAGTAGTGTTTTTCTAACTAAATAGCTATTCCATCTTTGATGGTCAAGTAGTACTCACAAAATGTATTTCATACATTCTGCCAGATCTTACTATCTGACAGCTTAGGAATCAATGAATGCTCTTTTTTCATTCATCAGGCTTTTGACCTAATGTTTGTCCAGCTGTCAATAATGAATTCCATCCATATCTACTGGGAAGCCAACACTGCTGTTTTGTCTACCTGTCAGAGCAGCTAGTCACTTCAGCCTACAGAAACACCTCATCTGGTTCATTGAAAACTGCTAGATAAGTATCAGCAAGTTCCTCTCTCTTGTTAGGTGAGTTTAGATGATTCAATATGGTGCCCTCAACCTCTTCTCACTCATTGGAATCCTCTTCACACTCTTGTTTAAGTCGTTGCACAAAGGGCTCATTTGTGCCGTATGAACCTAGATTATCTATGTGTACCGTGTGCTTTTCTGTGCCTTGCATGTAGCTCATTCATTAGAAGACCAACTTTTTGGAGCATCAGATATGGGCAATTCCTGTCAGAACCAAGTCGCTTTTATGCAAAAAGTACATACTATAACCACAAACAGTCACTACACTTGAATATCCAGTTTCACTGTCCTGTCATAACATTTCTGTAGCAGGCTGCCATCCTGGGTTTTTATTGGACAAATTCACATGTATGGACCATTGTTATCTTAACCATTCTGCATACTCTTGGGGTCACTGGTGTACTTCTTCTCATGGTGGAGGACAAATACATCACATTCACAAGAAGTGACATTTCTCATTGGAATGTGAGCAGGTTTGGCAAATTTGTTTCATCCCTGTTACATCGCTCTATATACCAATACCATCACCATATATGGCAGATGTTAGTCCCAGTAGCTTGTCAGGGTTAACAAACATTATAAGCATCCACTTGGTGCCCTGTATTACCCATTCTACTAAACCATCAGATTGGGAGTGATAAGATAAAAGATGGGTTATCTGATCTTCCAATATGTATCTGGCCAAAGCCTCTGGTTGTCAGGAGCGATGCTGCTAAAGTCTTCAGTTTTAGGTAGTAGCCACATGCAGGGACTTTGACACCCCAATGGGTATTCAGTCTCTGATCCAGGTATACAAGGGAATGACCTTCTCAAGGTAGCTCTTCATACAACCCTTCAGGACACTAGATGTCAAGAGCTGCAAGATACCTCATCCCATGGGTCACATTCTCCACCCATGGGTGCCTTTTGCTTCATTTGCCAGGAAGGCAATTCTGATTAGAGGAACTTATCCTTCAGTGGTGCATTCTGCCTCTGCCCACAAATTACCATGGTCTTTCTTGAACTTGCCAGCCATCAGTCCATTCTAATGAACCTCAGTTGTGCACACTCACCTTTTGCTGAAATTGATCTTTTACTCAGGCTGAATAATGTCCTTTGCCAAGGAGGGGACTTCTCCTAGACTCAACATCTCTTCCCACACAACTGTCTCTCTCATATTTGAGTACTTCTACTCCCAGAATAAGCCATTCTTTTAAGTAAAAGTGTTCCTTTAAACTGTTTAAACTCGCGAGATCAAGTAAGGGCTGATATGCATGTTATCCTTTCAGGAACTTTGCAATAAAGCTTGATGATATTGCACTAGAATTTCTCTCTTATCTACTTATGGTATTTTTAGGTAAAATATGATTTCCCCAAAATATCAGAATGGCAAACCTGCAAAACAGCAGATTCAACCAAGAAATAATGGGAGTGTTCTATTGTTTATAACTTGACTGAGTTTTAAGTTAGGTGAGAAACAAACAGATTTGACACATTTGAAGGACAATTAAAACAATTTTTCTTTAGATACACACACACACAAAAAAAAACAATGTACAATTGCCTCCACTCTTTGTTTCTTGTTGACAGTGTCATCTAGTGACTTTTGTTGTTCTACAGCATTGGGCAGCTGTATGTAGAGAAAGTCATCTTGGACAGCAAGGATGTTACATTGCTAATTTTTTCAACCTGGATTCTATATGGTAATGCAATATCCTCTTGGGCAGAACAGACATTATACATTGAGAAAACAAAGAAACAAAACAACTAGAATAAGGCAATCGTAACTACTTTTTAGACTACATGTTGCTGGCAGTACAGCTCAGAAACTAAATGACCAAACGATTTTTAAAATTTATGATATGCATGCATATTACAGATGGTTTTTTAATATTTTTTTTACTCGTTATTATTATTGCTTTAAGCTTTAGAGAATTTGATTTTGAAATTGAGTTACATGCTACTTGACATTTATGTACCTGTTTGTTTTTTAAAGGAGCAGCAACATCACCTTTCTAGATATTTTGGTGCTATAACAATTAAATGTAGTCCTAGTGTTTTTAATCTAATTATTGTTATTAAATTGTCATTTAGTTAAATATAGCAATTTTGAAAAGTAAGCAGTTTAGCAGGCATCTGTTAAAATACATTTTTTGGGGCTTATTGTTAAGTTTGTATGAAATAACACAGTTTTAGTTTTTTCCCCTTAAATACCAAGGAAGCAAGAACGAATAAAATTTGTCTGTAATTTTTGTTTGAGCCCTGAAGTCACATGTTGGTGAAGGTTTTTTTATCCATGTGCTTTCTGCAAGATATAATTTACATTTTTACATTTTGGGTTTATTTAATTTGCACTCTATTTGGAAAGTAATTTGTTTCTTGATTCATGGATTATGTAATTTACTTTTTCAAATTTACATTTAATTATTTAAATTTCAAAGTAATTCAAGATAAAAAAAACATAAAATGTTATAAAGAAATCTTCTAAAAAAACATCCCAAATGGACAGGTGTTACACTTTTGCCGACTTGACATGGTACCAAAGAAAAGTAGCAGCTATTGTGTTTGCAACACCACCCACCTCTACATATGAAGAAGTAGGTAATAGACCCCTTAAGGTCTTTGAAGTAAATTTTTAAGTCATCAAGTGAACTGTAGTGTTGTCTGTTGACTATTAAAAATAAATGAAACAAAGAAAGGTTAGCAATATTTGTAATTATCTTATCAGCAGCAAATTTTAACATTTAAGAATGCAAAGAAAATATTTATAGGAAAAACCTATATTATTTATGTGTGTGTGTGTGTGTGTGTATATATATACTTTACACCCAACTTCTCTGTCTCTGAAGTGAATGAAAATTATTACAAAAGTTGAATTCTGAAATCAACACAGCCTGAAAGTTTGTGTTTCATAAATAGTAATTATACGCTTGACCAATTAATTCTTAAAATACAAAAATTCCTTTCTGTAATTTCCAACACAAATAAAACATTGCATAAGTATTCCCCTTGTAATTCATACAAAAAGTACTGTGGAAATATTCCTTTCAGGGATTCACATTCTGAATATATATATATATGTACACTGAGTGGTCACAAGTAAATAGACACCTAATTTTTTGTCATTTAACTGATTTATGGTAACTAATTTGTGTTCACAGAGCACTATATAAATGAAAATGGTCCGCACACTAATTATCTTGTGCTACAACATTCCTAGAACTCAAGATTCTCTCGAATTGTCAGATTTTGTTAGAGGACGGAAAGTTGGTCCAGCAGATGGTGGAATAACTCAGCAGCAAATTTCGACAGTCAACAGAATCATCGTGCAGTTCAGGAAACATGGCAAGGAAACAACTGAGCAGCATCCGGGTCATCCTGGTCCATCAGAGAGGACGAAAAAGGCTGTCAAGAGGAGCATCAAAATGGATCCCAGATTAACGACTGCAGAAATGGCCAAAGTTGGTTGGATGAGCCCGAAATCTGTTCAACAGATTCTCCACAGATTGGGTTATCGTTGTAGAGCAGCTAGACGGAAGCCCTTATTAAGACCTGCCAACAAAGTCAGACGAAAGAAGTGGGCAAGTGATATGAT